ATATAAAACTGAAAGCAACAAATGAACAAATAATGCAAACAAACAAAAACTCATAGACAGAGACGATAGTGTGGTGGTTACCAGAGGGAGGGGGAGGGAAGGTAGAAAAGGGCAAAGGGAGTCAAATATATGGTGACGGAAGGAGATTTGGCTTTGGGTAGTAAACACACAATGCAACATACAAATGATGTGTTATAGAATTGTACACCTGAAAGCTATATAATTTTATTAACCAATGTCACCTCAATAAATTTAATTTCAAAAGATTTTTTTAAAGGAAGCTATAGCCCTGACTGGTGCAGCTCAGTTGGTTGGGCGCCATCCCCTAACCGAGATGTCAGATGTCGCTGGTTTGATTCCAGGTCAGGGCACATGCCTGGGTTTCGGGCCTGGCCCCTGGTTGGGGTGTGTGAGAGTCAATCAATCGATGTTTCTCTCCCTCTCTTTCTCCTTATTTTCCCCTCTCTCTAAAAATAAATAATTTTTTAAAGAGAAGCTATAGTAAACCAAGAACAAGAAATCTCGTTTCCTGGTGGAAATTTAAAATGATTTTTTTTAAATGTTTAAATGTTTAAAGATAAGGTTATGGAAATGTCCCAGAAAGTACAAAATTGGGGGCAGGGGCGGGCAGGAGGGAGGGTAATGAGGAGGGGTGTGTTGGGGGCGTTGTTCGCGAAGCGAGGAGCGAAGGCACCTTGAGGGGTGGAGGGGGGTGGAGTTTGGTGAATGATCTGCTTGTGGCCACAAGGGGGCAGGGTAAGTCTAAAAACTGAATGTGAGTGCTGGCTGCTGTGTAGGCTGCAGTGAACCAGGCCTTCCTGGCTTGTCTTAACCACACACTGCCAGCTAGCTGCACCCTCAGTCTGATAACGTTTTTATGACTGAGTGGGACCTGGCTCATTCAGTGTCCCGTGCCCTGTTCGCCAGTCAAGGTAGGAGCTGCTCTTCAACATCTGAGAAGTAAGAAGTCTCCCTGTCCCCCAGGTTTAGCACATTTAGGTGTATTATACTTGTGAGGAACACAGTGCCAAGTGTTGGGGTTCTTCTGTAAGTTGGTGCTGGGGAGGAAGTAATCTCCAAGGGAAGGGCCGGGGGGGAGTTTTAAAAAGGGAAGCACATTCTTGTCCTGTAAAAGCAAATAATTTTGTTGATGAGAGTAAAGAAGAAAATACCATTTGTTGAAACTACTTGGTGTCATTCATAGATAATCATCTCACTTCTTATGCCTCACTATAACTGAAATAGGTTGCACTATCCCCACTTTGCCCACAGTAACACAGCTAACAATTTCCAAGTCACAATTCAAACCCCGGTCTTTCCACTACATCCCACCATGTTTCAAAAACTCACAGAAAGAGAATAAAACTCTTCAGGAGAAACCAAATAACAAGTATAATTTGTTCTGACCAAATGAAGGCTACAGATACCCAGGGGGTGCTGATTAAAACTGAAAAAGGGAGGATATAATTAAGCATAGCTTCCTGAACAAAGTCAGCTCTGAGCTGAATTCTGGGGGAGGTGCAGGCTAGAGATTGATAGAGTAATAAAAGCACTAAGGAAGGAAGGAAGTCATGTGGTAAGGAGACTAACTTAGTTGAAACAGAAAAGTTACAGGAAAAAGTAATGAGAGCCATGGAGAAGGGAGCAATTGTTTAATTTATTGTTTAACTCAACAGATCTTTGCTGAGCTCCCACTCCATGCACACTACCTGTGGGGGATGGGAGGAGTCCGATGAGCCATCGCAGAAAAAGGAAAGAGTGGGGTATTGGAGAAATAACCAGTATGACCAGTTGTATAGGATGAGTGAGGGGAGAAAAGATGACAGCAGGAAGGCAGCACATGCTCTTAAGCAAAGGTGGGATCTGATGAAACTATGTTTTAGAACATTTGATTGTAGTAGTACGTAAGTACTGAAGGAGAAGGAATGGAGGCTTGACGGATGGCTAAGAGGTTAATGCTCTGATCCAGGCACAAGGAAAGGAATGCCTGATCCACTGACAGAGAACATGAAAAAGATGCCTGTTCCGCTTTACACGTTAGTTGTCAGCTTGGACAAAGTGACTGTTCCTGGGAAGCTGCTGAGTCCCTTCCAAGCCTGCAAAACTGCAGATCTGAACCTGAAGCACAGTGTCTCGGTGGGAATTACATGAGAGCTTTTTCAGAGAAAGAAGCTCTGCTCTGTGGATCTCCCAGGAACCTGTAGATTGAGAACTTGGAGAAAACTTTGGGAGCGTTGATGGGGCGGGTATCTGCAGAGAAGACTGGTATTGTCCCTTATGGGCGTGCCATGTTTCAGGCTTGGTTCTTTGCAGAATCAAAAGGTTATTTTGTCAACACCCTCTCTGCGATAGACTCACCTTATCAAACTCAAGTCCAAAGTAAAAGCCAGCCTATTTTAGAGGGAGAATCATTACCACCATCATCACCAAGACCTGACAAACACATCCTGCCTTTGGGGCATGTCACTGGGCCAGCATGCCCCCTCCACTGAGCCACTCTAGGAGAGGCACTGCCAGTGTGCGCCCCTGTCGCTCCCCTTCTCTGTGCTCCATTTCTGGCCAGTTCTCTCCCTTTCTAAGGAACACATTCATTCTATTTTTTAACCCTCACCTGAGGATATGTTTTTATTAATTTTAAAGAAATAAGCAGGAAGAAGGAGAGATAGAGAGAAACATTGATGTGAGAGAGAACTATCAAACATCAACTGGTTGCCTCCAGTATGCACCACGACCCGGCCTTAAACCCTGAACCTAGGTATGTGCCGTGACCGGGAATCAAACCAGCAGCCTTTTGTGCAGGACAATGCTCTAACCAACCGAGCCACCCGGCCAGGGCAGGACACATTCATTCTTTGGATAAGCCTGTACCATCCATAGGCTCCAGCCCAATCTTGCTCTGGTCAGTAAACCATTCTCCTTTGTTAAGGTCACTGTTTTTAATGGGCCTCACCACTCAGTGTTAATTTTATGGCTTAACTATCTGAGGGAGCCCCTATTTTTATATCCAGATTTTTGCTGGGAGATAACTTAGTGTTGTCTCCTTATATGGCCTATTTGAGCAGTTTCCACTCTTCTATCCTTTCCCTGGGAGAAAAAATGAAACGCTTCTTTCTCTTCTCCAGCACTGTGTTGTTTGAACTCTGAGTGATATTATCCTTGCTGCCCAGTTCCATTCCTGTAGCTCTGTGACTGCCTCTGTGTGCTTTAAGGATTATTTTGCCTCCCTGAAGAGAGTCTGTTCAATCATTTCCATATGTCATTCAAGGTGAAGTCCAGGCTCAGAAAATGAAATTATTTCTTGTTTTGCCTATGACAAAATAAGATCCACATTATTTAAAAGAACCTTCCTCTTTACTTACAAGGGATATTTCTTTGACGATAACTTCATATTTATCACTGTAGTCCCCTAAAACATAATGGGGCAGGTGAGAGTTTAAGGAAGCATGGTCAAGAATAATGTTCCCTTATAACTGTAATAAATATTTTTGATATATATAATATTGCTTTATAAATGCCCAAAGAGTGCAAAGTATCACATATCTCTGTACTCTATATGGTATTTAATCTTCTATGTAGTACATAATGTTACTGCTTAAAGAAATGAATAAAATAACTAATTAGCTAATGAATCCTTACAACTCTTCACAGAAGAGTGGTAGAGTTTCTCTCACACATTTCACAAGAGAAATGCATTTGGTGCCCCTTTTTAGCCACAGAGTTAGTCGTTAAGTATGCTGTGAAGTCATCTAAGTCTCCCCTGTGTGGGTACCAACATGCTGGACTGAAGCCCTTTGTTTCCGTGTGGAGAGTCTGCCACCTCTGCATACTTGTCCTCAGGAATGTCGTTCTAGAAATAAACCAGCCTTCTCCCTGGGGCCCATGAGTCACACACAGAAGTTAATTCATTGGAGCAACTGGCTTTTCTTAGGCCCTTTGTAAAAGTATTTCAGAGAGGCCCTCATGGTCAGGCCAAAAAAAAAAAGTGGGTTCCTCTTCAGGTTCTTTCCAGCTCTTGCCTCATTTCCTCTCTCTGCTTCCTTCACCACCTTACACTTGGCTTTTCCTGACAACCTTTACCTGCAGACCTAGACCCCAGGTCCTGAGCTAGTGTTGCCTGAAGCAGGAAGTAGACTAGCAAAGCCTCCTCACCCACCCACCAGCTCCATTCATTCATATTTGGAATCAAATTACACTCCACCGTATCATTCCTGTGTTCTTGGCTGCTAAACACACTTTTGAGTCTCTGCATGCCAAAGACAATCTTGTGTAATCTGTGTCAAAAGATGGAGCCTGGGAGTTCAGCTTTATTTTTCTCTTCATCTTTTTGTATTTTATTTTTTATAACAGAAGTACTAATTGAATACATTTTCACTGTGAAACAACGTAAAGCTGAAGTTCTCCTTGTTAACTAAGTATTTAACTTGCATTGCTATATTATTTTACTGCTGTTTTGTATTCTAGGATGCTTTTTAAGTATAAGAAATACATGATAACAATAAAATTCAAACAGTATAGAAATATGAGTAGTAAAAATGGAACATATCTCAGAACTGCCCCATTTCCACTTCTGTCCACGGCTAACAGTTTGGTGATAGCCTTCCAGACCTTTGTGAAATACATTTACATACATACATATTTTTATATAAATGGGCTCATCCTACACATCTGTTCTACAACTTTATTTACTTACTATCTCATAGCTTTCCATGTGAGTACATTTACTTTGTTAATAGCTACATAGTACGCCACAGTTTGATTGTGCCATAATTTATTTAAGCATTGCCATATCAGTGAGCATTTGAATTGCTTCCTATTTGGGGTTTTGATTACAATAATGCTGTACTGAACTTCTTTGCCTGTGCTTCTTTGTGTACTATCCAAAACTGTCTGTAGGGTAGATATATGGAGGTAGCATTAATGGGTCAAAATCTAAGATTTTATAATTTTCAAATTTTACAATTAAAGAATTAAACACTTCCCTGTTTCCCTTTCTTCTGCAGAGAGTTCTTTCCTGGGAACTGACATTGACCTTCAGACTGTAGACAATGATGTTGTCAGCATGGAGATGCTCTTCAAAGCCTGGCTACATAACAGTGGAACAGACCGAGAACACGTTCACCTTCTGCTTCCTTCACAGTCTTTCAGCAAGAGTTCCAGAGCCACAGATAATCCAAGTAACACTCCTAAAACAACATATTATGTAGGCTATCATAATCGTAGTCTTAGACTCCAGATTGGTGAGTCACCAGAATACAGAGCACTTGAGATTTAAGAATTAGAGGAGGACTGGATGAAGCTGTTCAGTGTTAGCAGGAGGAGTAAGAAAAGAATTTCTAAAAAGTGAGCAGTTAGAAAACTGAACGTAATTAATCCCAGACAGCAAGGGACAGCTAGTTTAGAGGCAAAAACGTAGACACCTCAATACTAGGGCAGCAACTACACTACAAAAGAACACAGTGAGTTATATATTTTTCTCAAATTTTTAATTTTTAATGCAGTAGATATTAATGATATTATAATTTGAAGCATGCTGGTACCTCAATAATATCAACAGGGCCTATGAGTAGAGGAAAAGAAGCAAGACTAAACCAAAATTAAATAGAGGTCTTCTGGATAGTGAGACATCAAATTGGGGGTGAGGGGGAGTAAAGCAGCTACCAAGGCAGGCCCCTGAGAGGACATTTAGAGACCCAAGACCATGTCCATAAAGCATGTTCTGGCAATTATGAAAACCAAGAGATTGATCCAGTGTTTTAGACATGCCACCGTGGCCCTGGATATTGTTCTGTCTGGTAGTGGTATTCATTCCAGGTCCCACTAGTCTCCATCCCCTTTGAAGATTGGCTCAGGATCCAGGGTGACAAGGGCCTGCAAATGGGCCCATCAGTACAGTCAGCCACACCGAGTTTGGAAAAGCTGACTCCTCAGGGCCTAGCTAAAGGGAAAGGGCCACGGTGTGTCTTTGGGAGTTGGCATTCCCTCAGAAAAATGGGTACAGACCCCTGGCCCCAAAGGGAAAGACACCCCTTGGTTCTTCCTGGGGATAATCACTGGGTCCTTACCCATCACCCCTATTCCAACCTAGGGCCTGGAATGCCTTTGACAACTTATCTGGATTTTTTTCTGTCATTCCTTTGAGTGTAAAATCTTCCCAGGACCTTCTTTCCAACCTTTGTGTCTAACGGTAACAGTGCCATTTGCTCTCTGTCCCATTTTCTGGAATTCACTTCTTATCTGCTTTTCCCCAGACACTGTGTCAACTTCTTTCCTTGCATTATCCCATTTCATCCTCACACAGCATCATGAGGCAGGTAATGTTACCGTATGTCATTAAATCTAAGATGCAATCAGTAGTAAGATATACTATTATTTTCTGTACCACTAAGAAATAAAAACACTATCAATTAAACATGACACAGTGCTTTCTTATCACTTAGAAATATTTTCTCACCCTTAGAATTTTTTTAGGTTGGAGTAATGTGTGAGGGTTAAGGGTGTGTGTCTGGCCAGTGGTAATTATAGGACACATATAGAGATGCAAGTATGTGAAAAAAAATGCATCTTGGCATCAATTAAATGCATATTATCCCTATTTTACAGATGAGAAAACTGAGAGTTAGAGAAATTAAACATTTCCCTAGGGATGCATGGAAAATTAACAGTGGAACCAGAATTTGAAGCTGGGCAATTCCAGAGCCCACTCTTACCCTTAGGATTAGAAGTCTGTATTTTTTGCATTTGACTACTCTTAGCCCAGAGGACACTCACCAAACCCAGGTCTATCTGCCTCCAGAGCTGGGGCCCATACCTACTATGCAGCCTGCCTCATGCTGGGTAATTCTAGACAAGGATGCTAGAGATTCACTTCTCTTATTAGGAGAGCAGAGGGCCTCAAAGGCCAGGAACTCTTGCAATCAGTCTTTCTTCCACTGTTGCACAGTATTTGCCCATGGTGCTGTTGAGAATTTCTCTGCTTTGCCCTCTCTTTCCATGGCTTTCAGCACCAGAACCAGAGCCCAAACATTTATCTTCATCTGCAACCGTTTTCCAGCAGTTCATGGGTCTTCACGGTGCATGGTAGAACTTAGATCCAGACTCATCAGCGCTTCTGCTGGGGAGGACTTCCCTGCAGTCCAGATGCTCAGACACAGTTGGAATGAGGTCTGGGGAAAGTTGACCTCCTGTAGTTATCCATTGTTTAAAAAACTGATGCATTGCCAAATACATGGATTTCTAAAAATGTGGCTCATTACAAAAAAAAAAGTGAAACAAAACAAAACAAAACAAAAACGCTAAGCTCTCCTACTCCAGCATCCTTTGAGGACTGCCCTTCAGGTGTTCACTTTGACTTCTCTTTATAAGGTTCTCCACCCCACATCGCCTGCTTCAGTAGCTGCCTAGGGCCCTTCACCCCATCTATAGATGCCTCCCTCAGAGGCCTCCATGTGATGGATAAAGTACACAGTCAGCTTCAGATGAGTGTCCTTTCTCATTTCTTTGGTTTGGGGTCTGCCACCTCATCACCCAGGTTCTGGGTGGTGAGAAGCATACCTTGTTTTAGACCCAAGGCCTGCTAAAACAGCTTTCCCAGCCTTGGAGCACTGCTGGCACTACCATCCCCATAGTTCTCAGCCCTGGTTGAAAAAAAAAAAGTCACATGAGGAGCTTTTCTTAAAACCCAGCATCCAGGCTTCATTCCAAGAGATTCCAATTTGATCAGTGTGAAGTAGGGTCCAGATATCAGTGTCTTTTAAAAGTTTCCTACATGATTTTTAATTCTGTCCAAGTGAGAACCTCAGCCAGGTGAATACAGCTATCCAGTCCTAAAAACCAGGAACCCGACAATGAAGTCAGGCACACAGGAAGGAGGGGAAGCTGGAGCTCTAGGCTAAGTCCCTCCTACTGACTTCCTGTGCCCTGGGACACACCAGAGGCACCTCACACGACATCGATGTCTATGTATGATTGCTGAGCCCAGGAGGTCCAGCTGGACCTAACATCTATGCTGGAGTCCTATTTATTTCTATACTATTTCTACTTTTTGTTTTTACCTCATGTTGCAGTTAGTATAGTCATTTCATAAATCACTAACACCAACTACTAACCTTCTCATAAGGATTCAACATTGGTTTATTCACAGGTTTGTTAACAGTGTTCGAACCTGGTACAAATTTTATTGAAAAACTTTGTAATATCTAGGATTCAAGCTTAGTGCAAAAGAACCCTGTACACTGTGGCATGTGAATAGACTTGCTGGAGCAGAAGCTTAATAATACACAAGAGTATAATACCTTGATGAGTAACTCATACCTAGTCAAACCTCCCCTCAGAAATGTGGTCTGGTGTCACCGTGATGCTCCAAGGCTCAGAAGGTTTTATACTTTGGTTTCTTTGGGGAATTTAAAAGTAAACTGTTTTGGCAACTTATTCCTCCTCCCCCCAAATGTCCCTACAAGAGACCACAGAGGGGAAGTCCTTCCGCAGAACAGTAGCTGTCAGCTGACTGACTGACTTCCGCTTTCCTGCTCTTCTTTCATCTGCCCTGTAGTCTTGCCAAAGCTTAGCCACAGGGAAGCAGCAGAGGCAAGATTTCCTTCTGTGATTGCCAAAGGGCCTCTACATATTATAAGGTTAGCTGCCTCTTCCACAGAGGACACATGATCCTCTCAGACTGGATCACAAGCCAGATCTCTCGCTATTGGGCAACTGCTCAGCCAGCCCAGGAGTAAAATAAGTAAAAATCATGTCAGACCCAGAAAATGTTACCTGCTGTGCAGGGCAATACTGTAGGTGCCAGACCTGCTCCGCCTCTGTAAACCCATCATATTTTCCTCTTTCCAGTCTCTTGCCTGCTCCCGACCCTTACTTTCCTGGTAAAGGTGGAATGAGTAGCAGATGTTGTTTCTGAACCACATAGCCCGAGGTAACTTGTGATAAACATCCTTCCCCCAATGCCATTTTTTATTGTAGTGTGCCTGAAATGTGATCTCCAAGAGCGACTTCTCAGCCCATCTCTGCTCCCTGGCACAGCTGATGGCTCCTTGAAAATGGATGACCCCAAAGGAGACTTCAGCACACTCTACCAGATGGCCTCCCAGTCATCGGCCTCTTATTACAAGCTCCGGGTGATCAAGTAGGGTCCATGGGAAGCTCCCCAACCCATGCAAACACTGATTCTTACAGGTTCCAAGGCTAGGAAGTCCAGGGATAGAGGACATCCCCAAGTGTCAGGCAGGCGAGAGTCTGTTCCAAAGCAGCACCTACAGGTATGGGCATGAAAAAGCATGGTCAGGCTGCTCAGCACAGGGAGACAAATGAGCAGAGGATGGAGATGTGCCTCAGTAGGACAATGAGGGTTGAATGAGGATTGGAAATCCAGAAAGTCTCTGAATGCAGAGACCTATTGTGGTTAAGCATCGAGAGAGATCTGGACTTCAAGGAGCAAGTGGTACATAGTGTCTTCCCCTGCCCTCCCATTTCTCCAAGTCAGTGACTTTCAACCTTTTTATCTCATTCATTGCAAAATAAACTAAGCTAAAATTCTGCAGCATACCAAAAAGTAGATTTTTGGCTGATCTGACAAAAAATAGGTATAATTTTGATTCATTCACACTGGACAGCTACTGTTGTATTAACCATCATTTTTTTATTTGACAACCTAAGGGAAAAGAGGTCAGTGACCCCAACTAAATAGGTATCACATGTTTTAAAAATTCTTGCAGCACACTGGTTGAAAATCTCGACTCTAAAAACTAGAATCCCTGCTTCCAGGGGAACCAAGTTCAAGGTAGAATTAGCCATGAAGGCTAAGGCCATTTTTACTGTTTCCTAGTTCCTATCACAGTGCTCAAATCAGGTATCTGCACAAGCTCATCCATGGGTTTCTGACCATGGATGCTGCTAGGAACCTTCTGAAATGCATCCACTTCTTAGATGCATCCTCTGTCAGCATATCACTTCAAAAGAGCCAGGAATAGGATGCAGATGGTTGGCATACTATTGTGTTACATGGTGCTGTAGCAGGGGTATTATGGGAGTGTCCCCAGGCACGTCACTTGGCATAGAATGAACTCAGGAGAAGAAATTTTCATCAGAGCCTTGAGCCTTCATGATGGCTGCTTCATTCATTGATTAACAGGCTTTGAAAATGTGCTGTGTGCCCGATACCTTGCTAGGTACTGGCCATACAAAGATGAATAATTCACAGTCCCTAGCCTAAAGGATTTCACAATAGGGTTATAGATTTAACTGAATTTTAGTGAATTTGGGTTGAGGTTCCGGATATCATTGAGGAGACATTCCCTGCCATTGTCTCTTCCCAGGGCTCTCAAATCCAGTGGGATCTGCGAATCAGTGACATATGGTCTCCCATTCATCCTCAGACCCACAAGCTGCTGGCAACTGGACTGGGATGAGCTGGAGACGAATCAGCAGCATTTCCATGCTTTGTGTAACAGCCTGCTGGTGAGTATCTGTTCCACGTGAGGAAGAGGAAGGATGTTCAAGTACCAACCACAGAAAAGCAGTTAGCTGAATTGTGCCCTGATTCCAAACCTGTCCCAATCCTCAAGAGGACAGGAAAAAACAGGAGATACTCTGAAATGTAGATTAAATATGACTTACCTTTGTTGTTTCATGTTATAGAGAATAACTCTTGAATTCAATTATATGATACTAAACTTCAAAAGCCCCGTGTTTTTACACTTATCCAATAAATGGCAGCAAGGAATTTTCCATAAGTAACTATATTTTAAAACTTATTTTCTTTCTAACACTGTCCTGGACATTGTGGTTCATTTAAATGAAGAGTACCTAGTCTGTGCCAAACATCGTGCTAAGCCCTAGATATTTAATGGTTAACATAATAGATTATGTTATTTTTGACCTCAAGAAACTTACTCTCTAATGGAAGAGACAGAATTAAGCATGTTGCAAACTGTGAAGTTTATGAAGAAAAAGAAGTAGCTGTTATAAGAAAACATCTCTGTGAAAGTGACATTTAAACTGAGACCTGCCAGATAAATGGGAATTAGCCAGATGAAGGGTGGCAGGAAGAACACTCCAGGTGCAGGAAAAGGAATGTGCAAAGACCCCAATGCTAGAAAGAGCTGAGAGAATAATCAAAAATAAGGCAGCCAGCCATGGCTGGGTAGCTCAGTTGGTTAGAACATTGTCCCAGCACACCAAAGTTGCTGGTTCAATCCCTGGTCAGGGCACGTGCAGGAAGCAACCAATGAATGAATGAATAAGTGGAGCAATAAATCAGTGTTTCTCTCTCTCCCCTCCACCTTCTTCTCTCCTTCTCTCTAAAATCAATTTTAAGTATATTTTATTCATTATGCTATTACAGTTGTCCCATTTTTTCTCCCATTTATTGCCCTCCACCCTGTACCCTCCCTCCCACCAGCATTCCCCTCGCCCTTCATGTCCATGGGCCATACACTAAGTTCTTTGGCTTATCCACTTCCTATACCCTCCCCCTGTCTTTTTTGTACCTACCATTTATACTTCTTATTCTCTGTATCTTTTACCCCATTATCCACCCTCCCCGTCCCTGCTGATAACCCTCTATGTGATCTTCATTTCTGTGGCTCTGTTCCTGTTCTAGTTGTTTGCTTAGTTTGCTTTTGTTTTTGTTTTAGGTTCAGTTGTTAATAACTGTGAGCTTATTGCCATTTTAGTGTTCATATTTTTTATCTTCTTTTTCTTAGATAAGTTCCTTTAACATTTCATATAATGTTAAAGGGCTGGGTGATGACAAACTTCTTTAACTTGATTTTATCTGGGATAAGCCCTTCCATTCTAAATGAAAGCTTTGCTGGATAGAGTAATCTTGCATGTAGGTCCTTGCCTTTCACAACTTTGATTACTTCTTTCCAGTCCCTTCTTGCCTGCAAGTTTCTTTTGAGAAATCAGCTGATAGTCTTATGGGAACTCCTTTGTAGATAGCTGTCTCCTTTTCTCTTGCTGCTTTTAAGGTTCTCTCCATATCTTTCATCTTGGCTAATGTAAGTATGATGTGCCTTAGTGTGTTCCTCCTTGGGTCCAACTTCTTTGGGACTTTCTGAGCTTCCTGGACTTCTTGGAAGTCTATTTCTTTTGCCAAACTGGACCAGTTCTCCATTATTTTTTCCAATGAGTTTTGCATTTCTTACTCTTACTCTTCTCCTTCTGGCACCTCTATGATTCGGATGTTGGAATGTTTATAGTTGTCACAGAGGTTCCTACGCCTCTTCTCATTATTTTGAATTCTAGTTTCTTTGTTCTGTTCTGGTTGAATGTTTATTTCTTCCTTCTGCTCTAAATCATTGATTGAATGTCAATATCCTTCCTTTCACTATTGGTTCCCTGTGCATTTTTCTTTATTTCACTTTGCACAACCTTCACTTTTTTCTCTATTTTGTAACCATAGTCAACCATTTCTGTGAGCATCCTGGTTACCAATGTTTTGAACTATGCATCTGATAAGTTGGCTCTCTCTTCGTCACTTAGTTCTGTTTCTGGAGTTTTGATTTGTTCTTTCATTTGGGCCATATTTCTTTGTCTTGGCATACCTGTTGCATTGTAAGGGCCGGAGCCTTAGGCATTTGCCAGGGCAAGGCAAATCGTGTCACTGCGTTGTGGTCCTGTATGTGGGGGAAGGGTCAGAGAGGGAACAATGCTGCTTGTTCAGCTCTTGGCCAACTTTCAGTCACTTCCTCTGCTACCCACGAGCAAATTGGGCCCTTCTGGTGCTGATTCCCAGGTGGGTGGATTTGTGTACATTCTAGGACCCTGTGGATCTCTCCAAAGAACTCTCCTGCAAAACTGGGAGTTTCTCCCGCCATGCAACCCCCACAGATTTTTACAGTCAGAGGTTTTGAGGCTTTCTTTTCCCTCACTGGAACCCTGGGTTGCGTGGTCTGTCTTGCTCCCCAGTTGTTCCTTCTGGTTTACCCACATGCAAATGAGGGACCCCCCAGCAGCTGCCTTGCCTGCCCAGTCCTCCAACCCCTGCCTTGCCAGCATCCTCTCTGTCTCATGTGCCTGTCTCTATCCCTCCTACAGGTTGAATGAATATTTCTTCTTTAACTCCTTGGTTGTCAGACCTCCACACAGTTTGATTTTCTGGCAGTTCTGGTTGGTTTTTGTTTTTAAATTTGTTATTATCCTTCTTTTGGTTGTGTGAGATGGCAAAGTGTATCTACCTACGCCTCCATCTTGGCAGGAAGTCTCCTAGAGTTCAAATGATGGCCTAGTAGCTGGGAGTCTTTGGGCTGCTTCTTTATATTCTTTGGATTCAAAAACCCATATAAATTTGAATGTCTAATTGGTTTTATTAAGAGATTCATGAATTGGGCAGCAACCCATCTAGCAACTAGAAAGGCATTCTTCTAAAATCAATTTTTAAAAATATTTTTAGCCCTGAATGGTGTGGCTCAGTGGATTGAGTGCTGGCCTGTGAACCAAAGGATCCCGTTTTGACTCCTAATCAGGGCACATTACTGGGTTGGAGGCCAGATCCCCATTAGGGGGCACGAGAGGCAACCACACATTAATGTTTCCTTCTCTTTCTCCCTCCCTCCCTTCCCCTCTGTCTAAAAATAAATAACTAAAATACTTTTAAAATAAAAATTAGAATGTTTTTAAAAATAAATAACAAAGAGGCCATTGTGTCTGAAATAAAGAGAGTGAGGGGAGAGAGTCACAAGATGGGAAGGACAAGAGAATAAGAGTCAAATGGTGCAAAGCTTTGTAAGCCAAATTAAGGACTTTGGACTTTAAGTACAGAAGAAAAAAATCATGATAAATGAATCATCTAAGTTTTATTTTAAAATTACTTCAGCCAAAATTTGGAAAAGAATGAACAGAGGCAAGAATAGAAATAAGAAAATGAGGCAGAGGGCATTTCAGTCATCTAGGCAAGAGACGATGGTGGTTTCGACTCCAGTGTTGGAAGTCAAGGTGAAAAAGGTAAAAGGATTAAAGAGATGCTTTAAAGAAAGAGTCAGAACTTGGTGAAGGGTTGGATGTGGGGAGCAAGGAAGAGGAAAATATCAAATAACTGCCCGGTTTCTGATTTGAACAAGTAAGTGTATGCCATTTCCTGAAATGACAAAACTAAATAGCACATACACGAAGCAGTAATGCAACACTCACAGGGCAAAATATATAAAACAGCCACCAGTATAATCTAGGACATATGCAGCTGCTAAGTGGATACAAAATAAAGGTTTGACCTAGCAGGACATGCCTGATTAGAATGGCACAGCAATGCATCTCTTTCACTATCAGAAGCAGACTTCTTTTTTTCCTGTTTCAAAGCCCACACTGCCTTTTGGGTCCACCCACTGAGTTCCTGTTTCCTATCTGAAGAACACCCATCTCCTGTCTTTGCTGAGCAAAGACAACAGATGTGTTCTGACTGTTAGAGCCCAACAGCTCAGTTTACTGTTCACTCCACCCAGTTCCTCAGGATCTCGGAGATTCTACATCACTCAAGAGGAATTTCTCTCAAGTGGCTTCAGTACATTCTTACAGTACGTGATATTTTAAACAGACATTAGCAACTTTTTTTAGGACAAGTCAGGAAAAATCAGAATTATTTATTTTGAAATAATTCATTTTTGCTTTCTTTTTCATTAACAACGAGTGATATAATGTTTAATTCTGTATTACCATAAATTAGAGTCTGGGTGTTTCACCTAGGTTATTTTTATATAGCTAACTGACTTCTGAAAAACCAAGACTATTTCCAAACAGAAACTCCTCGGTCTGGGACCCTGGCAGCTCTCCCCTGAGGGCATCCAAAGTCCATTTTTTATAGTTTGCCTCAAACCTCCTCTTCTCCAAGAACCTTTTACCAATGTACCATCCTCTGCAGCAATCTCTCCTATTTTCATTTTAAATGAGTTAAAAATACAGATAAGCATAAAGTACAAAGTTTTCTTACCTCCCAGAATTGAGAGTTGTTACATGTTGGCGTGTTTGCTTTTACCCTGCATGTGTGCTTCTCTGTGTGTAATAAAATAGTCCCCCAGATGTTTGCAGTGCCTCTGATCCCCAATGTCATCACCACACTCCAGCACTGCCTTATTCCCTGCAATCATCAACCACGAAATAGCTGTGAATCCTTTGAGTTCATTTTTCATTTTCTGCTACTTCTTCATTTAGGTATCATGACTGCTTTTCTTTTTTGTATGGAGTTCTCGGGAGTGACTCTAGAACAGTTGGTTTTCCCTGCTAGATGGCGATCAGCCAGGGGGCACTGGTCTGTGGATACCCTCTGTGAGCCACCAAACTTGGTGAGGAGTTAAGTATGTCTTGCTTCTCTCCAGAGTATGTATTGTCTTCTTACTACAGTTCACATCGTGGTCCTGGGTAACAGATTCGTAGAAGAGCTCAAACAAATTTATGGTGCAGCACCCAGCAACATCTGGGCCCTGTTCATGGGGAGCTCTGTGACTAAAACAGCTTTACTTTTG